CACACAAACACCTCGTGACATTTGTGTGCGGTTTTTGGACAAAAATGGCGTGTTTGAATTAGCGTACAACTGAATGAGATCTACGTGGCAATGGCTTTGCGCCAAGATCCGTGCACGTGTAATGTATGGCAATGAGGTCGTTCGCTGGCTCTTGGCTCCTGGCTGACGTACGCCAGTTAGTTTCCGTTAATTTCTTGTCAATGTCCAAATATGTTGTCAACTTTTGGTAAGTAATAGTTTTGTCAAAAAACTGACATGACAAGTATTGCCAAGTAATAGTTTTGCCTCAAGTTGCCCCCTGAGGCAAACAGGTCAGGAGCAGTTCAGCCCGGCCGCACGGCCCCGCGCCACCATGTGGGTGACGCGTGCAACAACGAACGACGGCACAGCCCGCGCCAGCAGGTGCGGATGAGAAGGATTTCCACTTTCGTGCTAAGGGAGCAAGGCAGCAGTCCAGTTCCAAAAACAACCCCCAAAGGTTTCCCATTTGGTGCAAGAAGACCAAGATGATGGACCCGCAGGACAAGAGGTCATTCCTGAGCCCACCAGCGCGTCATGGAGGGAAGCTTTGCAGACGAAGACCAATTTTAGTCAGGATAAACTGCGCTCATGCCCCCCTTCAAACTAGCCATTGGGGCAACCCTTCCAGCGATTCGTTTTCTAGGGAAGAGGACCAAAGGACTATAAAAGAGGGTAGGATGCCGCTGTAGAAAAGGATCGGAACCCAGAGCGCCCGACACTTGTACACTCTGTCCCTCTAGCAATCCCAACCAAGTAGGAGTAGGGTTTTACACCACAAGGTGGCCTGAACCTGGGTAACCGCCGTGCCTCCAGTTCATCCTCGCTAGGTCGCGCTAGCCACAAGCGCCGACATGTTTAGCTGTTGGTTAGGACAAAGCGGAAGAAGGAGCTCACCCCAGTGTTTGAACCTTTGGGTCTCCGGAGCCCCGGTTCCGACATTTTTCATTTGCCTTGCATGATCATAATATGGCTAGCTCGATATTTTCATGGCTTGTCCATTTTTTATGTCCATGCTATGCCGGATCATTGCACATACTAGTACACTGTCAAAGGCATTCATCATATAGAGATTCTTCCATGTTTTCAGTTTTGAGTTATGATTAATTTCAATTGAAGTGAGTCACTGTAAAGTGTATTGTTCAACATTGTAAGGTGTTGCTCCTACCAAGAGAGAGAGAGAGAGAGAGAGAGAGAGAGAGAGAGAGATAGAGAGAGAGAGAGAGAGAGAGAGAGAAATAAAAGACTTACCATGGAGGTGCCACAAAAAAAGAAAGAAAGAAAGAAAGAAAAAAGAAGAAGAAGAAAAAGGTGAGGACGAGAGAAGGTTCAACACCATTATCATTTTCAGTATACACTTGTGCTTCAAAGTAGCACCACTTCATGCATTGTCAAGTAGAAAATTTCATGAGCTTCATATGTTTCATACGGGGAATTTACATTAAAGAACTTAGCTTCTTTATTCCGATGACGAGCTTCCTCAAATGCTCGAGGTCTTCATGAGCAAGCAAGTTGGATGCACCCACACCTAGTCCATAGGAGAGATTTCACATATTCATAGCTCCATGTGCATCCTAGTTGCATGGTGATCACTGCTCCTTGCGTTAACACCGATCATAAGGCCTTATCCATTGCCTAGTGGTCAATTGCGTTGATGCAAGAATTTCTTTGTTTTTGACTTCTCAAAACCCCAACCATTTTCTATCTTGCCCTTAAGTGTGAGGCATAGGATTGCGCTTAGTGCTACATAGGTAGTTGAGCGATTGAATAATGCAGACAGACAATCTTGCTATTGTACCTTGGTGTTTTTGAAGCTATCGTTAATGCTTGATTTCTTTTGTCTATGATAGTCACTCCTATGTTCATAACATAATATTAACCTTCTCTCTGAACCTTTGTCAATGGGAATTTGGGCCCCATAAAAATATTTTCCTCTTTCTCAACCTCCATGGCAATGGAACTAAGGAGATAGCTTGTATTACTCCCTTGCTGGTTAACTTCTGTATGCTAGCACATCGAATTTGGATATCACTTTTGGGGTTTAGTTCAATGTAAGCTTTAGAGTTGGTAGTAG